GTAGGAGGAAGGGGGAGCTAGGCTGGATATTAGGAAAAACTATTTCACTAGGAGGGTGATGAAGTTCTGGAATGGGTTATTTAGGGACGTGGTAGAATCTCCATCCCTAGAGGTTTTTAAGGCTCAGCTTGACAAAGCCCTGGCTGGGATGATTTAGTTAGGATTGGTCCTGCTTTGGACAGGGGACTGGACTCGATGACTTCCTGAGGTCTTTTCCAGCCCTAGGATTCTATGATTCTATGATCCTTCTTTCTCAGCTGTAGCTGGCGAGCGGGGCTTGCTGCGGTTCGGCGAGCCCTGCACATTTGTATATAGGCATCTAAGATACTGATTTGATCTTGCCTCCTAGTTTTGTCCTGACCCTCCTTTCTCTCTGCCATGATAGCCCACGCTCCCTCCCATTTCCGACCCATCTCCCAGGTCTCCATGTTCTTTACTTACCCATGGGCTTTGCTCACCTGTCCCCGTCGAACCAAGTTTAAAGCCCTCCTCACTGGGTTCACCAGTCTGTGTCCAAATAGGGCCTTCCCCCTCCTTGAAAGGTGAACGCTATCTCTGCCTAGCAGTCCTTCCTGGAATAGCATCCCATGGTTGAGCCAAAGCCCTCTTGGCAACACCATCTTCGCAGCTAGGCATTCACCTCCAGGATGCACCTGTCTCTGCCCGTGCCCCTATCTTTGACAGAAAGGATCGAAGAGAATACCACCTGCGCTCCAAACTCCTTCACCCGTACTCCCAGAGCTCTGTAGTCACTCTTGATCTGCTCAGTGTCATACCTCGCAATATCATTTGTGCCCACATGGATGAGTAGCATGGGGATGTAGTCAGAGGGCCGGATAATCCTCAACAATGCCTCCGTAACATCTTGGATACAGGCCCCCGGCAGACAGCATACCTCCCGAGATGAAATGTCAGGGCGACAGATGGGTGCCTCCGTCCCCCTCGGAAGAGAGTCTCTGACCACCACTACCCTACTTTTCCTATTCCCAGAGTGGAAGCAGACCTTCCAGCCTTGGAGGTACAAGGCTTCTCCTCCTCTGTTGTAGGGGATGATTCCTTATCTTCTGTATCAAGAAGAGCATAACGGTACCACAGCAGGAAGGTTTGGAGCAGGGGTGGAGCACTGCCTGCTGCCAGAAGTACCCAGCTGCCACTGTCCACTCTGAGCTGTCTCCTCCTCCACCAGTGATGTGTCAGCAGTCTTGTGTACTGGGACAGTTAACTCAACTGCCTCCATATGAACACTGTCCAGGAATTGCTCATGGATTCGGATGCTCCTCTACCTAGTCACCTCCTCTTGTAGCTCTCCCACCTACTGACTGAGAGATTCCACCAACAGGCACCTTTCACATTGGATGGTCCCCCCAGCCAGAATATCAATAAGTGGGAATTGCAAGCCACAGTCCCTGCAAAACCACACCAGGATCTGGGCAGAGGCATCCATGCTCAGGTGTTCTGTCTGGCTACAGGCGCTGGTGGAGGAGACTGATGCAGTGCTGGCTCAGGTGTTGTGGGTCTTCCTAGCCAGGGGCAGATGACAATTTTGCGGGGCCCAGGGCAGCACAATTTCGGGGGGCCCCCCTTTGACACGGCGCATGCGCGGTAATGCCACGCGCATGCGCGGTGGTGCCATGGCACATGCACGGAGCTTCTTGAAGCGCAAGGCCCAGGGTGGCCGCCCCACTTGCCCTGCCCAATAGCCGCCCCTGTTCCTAACCATCGCAGACCTCCCTCTTTTAAACACTCTCTTAAACTCCTCTGTCTGCAGCCCCCTGGTCACTCTGCCTCTGGCTTTTAAAGCCTGCTCGCCTAGATCATGCCTACCCCATCGTGAGACACACAGGGGAAGGCTGACCAGAGGCAATCAAGGAAAGAAAGCATGTATTTGGCATTTGTTATTTCTGCTTCAAACCAGGGAGTGTTTCAGCACACCCAGAACTGCTAGTTTTAGTACTACTGCTTTAAAGAAAACATTTTTGTTCCTTGAGAAAACTGAAGGTTAAGGATCCCCACATACCTCTGACTAGAGCCATCAACAAGGAATTATCAGTCTAGAATAGCCAAAATTTTGAAGGCAAACTTTTTTAAAAAGTACCTGTGATTTAGGTGCCTAGTCCCATTTTCTAAAGGACTTTTGCCGTTCATTTTACTGAGGCCTCTAGCCACATGTAGAGATGCGATGGAGGCTGGGCTTGGAAGGGCTTGCATGCTTGATACCAACCACATTTCCACACACCTAATGAGTGTCTGGAGGAATGGGCCAGAGCAGCCTCTTCCTCCGAATTCCATGGCTCCCTCCTCCAGGGCACTTTGTTTTGTTTCACAAACAGGGAGGAACTAATAGGGGAAGTGGAGGTGGGTGACAACTTGGGAAGCAGTGACCATGAGATGGTAGATTTCAGGATCCTGGCCAATGGAAGAAAAGAGAGCAGTAAAATACACACCTTGGACTTCAAAAAAGCAGAGAATCCCCTGGGATGTTAACATGAAGGGGAAAGGAGTCCAGGACAGCTGGCAGTATTTTAAAGAAGCCTTATTGATGGCACAGAAAGAAATCATCCCGACGCGTAGCAATAGAGGCAAACATGGTAGGAGACCGGATTGGCTTACAGGGGAAATCCTTGGTGTACTTCAGCACAAAAAGGAAGCTTACAAAAAGTGGAAACTTGGACAAATGACCAAGGAGGAGTTTAAATGTATAGCTCGAGAATGTTGGGGGTTATCAGGAAGGCAAAAATGCAAATGGAATTGCGACTGGCTAATGATGTGAAGGATAACAAGAAAGGTTTCTACAGGCATGTTAACAAGAAGAAGGTGATCAGAGAGGGTGTGCGGCCCCCAATGGATGAAGGAGGTAACCTAGTGACAGATGATGTGGGGAAAGCTGAAGTACTCAATGCTTTCTTTGCCTCTGTATTCACGGACAAGGTCTGCTCCTGGACTTCTGCGCTAAGTGACGCAAGATGGGATGAAGATGGACAGCCCGTGTTGGGTAAAGAACAGGTTAGGAACTATTTAGACAAGCTAAACGTACATAAATCCATGGGTCCGGACTTAGTGCATCTGAGGGTACTGAGGGAGTTGGCAAATGTCATTGAGGAGCCTTTGGCTATTATCTTTGAAAAGTCGTGGAGATCGGGAGAAATCCTGGATGATTGGAAAAAGGCAAATGTAGTGCCCATCATCAAAAAAGGGAAGAAGGACGATCCAGGGAACTATAGGCCGGTCAGTCTTACCTCGGTTCCTGGAAAAATCATGGAAGGGATCCTTAAGGAAACTATTTTGAGGCACTTGGATGAGAAGAAAGTGATTAGGAATAGTCAGCATGGATTCACAAAAGGCAAGTCGTGCCTGACCAATCTGATTAGCTTCTATGATGAGGTAACTGGCTCGGTGGACATGGGAAAGTCAGTGGATGTTATATACCTTGACTTTAGCAAGGCTTTTGATACGTTCTCCCACAATATTCTTGCCAGCAAGTTAAGGGAATGTGGATTGGATAAATGGACGGTAAGATGGATAGAAAGATGGCTAGAAGGCCGGGTCCACTGGGTAGTGATCAACGGCTCGATCTCAGGATGGCGGTCGGTTTCTAGTGGAGTGCCCCAAGGTTCGGTTCTAGGACCGGTTTTGTTCAATATCTTTATTAATGATCTGGATGAGGGGATGGATTGCACCCTCAGCAAGTTTGCGGATGACACTAAGCTGGGGGGAGAGGTAGATACGCTTAAGGGCAGAGATAGGGTACAGAATGACTTAGACAAATTGGAGGATTGGGCCACAAGAAATCTGATGAGGTTCAACAAGGACAAGTGTAGAGTCCTGCACTTGGGACGGAAGAATCCCAAGCATAGTTACAAGCTGGGGACCAACCGGTTAAGTAGTAGTTCTGCAGAAAAGGACCTGGGGGTTACAGTGGATGAGAAGCTAGATATGAGTCAACAGTGTGCCCTTGTAGCCAAGAAGGCTAATGGTATATTAGGTTGCATTAAGAGGAGCATTGCCAGCAGATCCAGAGATGTCATTATTCCCCTTTATTCGGCTTTGGTGAGGCCACATCTGGAGTATTGTGTCCAGTTCTGGGCCCCCCACTACAAAAAGGATGTGGACGCATTGGAGAGGGTCCAGCGGAGGGCAACCAAAATGATTAGGGGGCTGGAGCATATGACTTATGAGGAGAGGCTGAGGGACTTGGGTCTGTTTAGTCTGCAGAAGCGAAGAGTGAGGGGGGATTTGATAGCAGCCTTCAACTTCCTGAAGGGAGGTTCCAAAGAGGATGGAGAGAGGCTGTTCTCAGTAGTGACAGATGGCAGAACAAGGAGCAATGGTCTCAAGTTGTGGTGGGAGAGGTCCAGGTTGGATATTAGGAAAAACTATTTCACTAGGAGGGTGGTGAAGCACTGGAATGGGTTACCTAGGGAAGTAGTGGAGTCTCCATCCCTAGAGGTGTTTAAGTCTCGGCTTGACAAAGCCCTGGCCAGGCTGATTTAGTTGGAATTGGTTCTGCCTAGAGCAGGGGGCTGGACTTGACGACCTTCTGAGGTCTCTTCCAGTTCTATGGTTCTATGATTCTATGATTTGTGAAGCAGTTTGAAAAGGCTGCGGATGGTAGGAGAGCCAGGCTGCCAAATCCCCACGAACTGTCGTGTGGGTGGACTAGGGGATTCTGACTGTGCTTGGCAAAGGCAGAGCTTTGCTGATATACAGCAGGGATACGGAAGGGTGCGCATCATGCGTGCCTAGGCAGTAACCTAAGCCGCAGTGTCTGAAGAGGAGCACAGACTCCTTCCCCCAGAACGAGCCCCCTCCTCCATTGCTACCTATCTGCTCTCCCTCCCTTCCCCCGCCCGCTGGGCTCTTTCCCGCCCTGCGTGTGTCCCGTTTGGCTCCAGGAGCAGAGGCTGGAGGCGCGGGAGGGCGCTGGGGCAGCAGCTGCAGGTGTCGTCACTGAGCCTGTTCCTGTCCCAGGCGCGTGCCGAGCCCCGAGCAGGCGCTGCAAGACGGGAAGCGCCGCTGCGTGACTCCGGCGGGGCAGCCGGGCAAAGTAAGAGTCTCATTGCAGTGGTACTGCAGCTGCCCTGCCCGCACCATGCGCCTCTCCGGCTCCAGGGCGGGCTCCGTGCGGCTGCTGCTCTCGCTGGCTGCTCTGTGGCTGTCGGATGCTAAAGAAACAGGTAAATATATTAGATCATCCTCCCTATTGCTCTCCTCACCGGCCCCCTGCAGCTGCGCCCTTCAGGAAGTGCGCCCTGGAGGGGGGAAGCCAGCCGCTTTCCTCCTGCAAGTGGCGTGTCCATCTCCCTAGGCGAACTTCAGTGCAGAATCGCTCTCATCCGCCCCCTGGATCACACTGGGAGTGGATTGGAGGTGGGGGAACGGTATGGGGACGTGTTGTCGTGTGTCCTTGCTAACTGCAGCCAAGCAAAGATCTCTGTCCTGAAACATCCCCAAGGCTCTGGCTTAGATAGAGAAATTCTCCCACACGCCCCAAGAAAAAACAATCATTTTATATGGGCACTTCAGATTTGTTTGAGCCAATCGCTGTTGGGTCCCCCCCCCTCCAGAAGAACCTAAAGCATCGCTTGTATGAGGTTACCTGACCAGCATTTCCTGCTGCTTTTTTATCACCCTCCCTTCCCCCTGCGTGTATGCAGTGGCAAGGGAGTTTTCTTGTTCCTCCATCAACTTTCAGAAAAAGGGTCTCATTGTGTCTCAACAGAAGGCGCAAAGTAGGTCTTGCATCGCAATCTTTGAAGAGACATAGTTTGACTGCAGGTTTAGTGCATCTTCCATGTCACAGTCTGTTTAGAAGCCAATCTCCTCATCTTTTTCTAGGGCAGGGATGGGGAACCTTTTTTGCGTAGGAGGGGTGCTGACCTACAGAAAAAGCAGTTGGGGGCCCCACACAAGTGAGAAAAAACCTTCATTGATGTGGATCCTGACTGAGGAGAAATACACTCCTCACATTCCCCTCCCACACCCACACCAGAGCCTAAATTTGTAGATTTTGTGTATGCCAGCACTGTGGGGAATGTGGGGGGACTGGAACACCACCACAGGCTCCCCAATGCTGGGGGGGGGGTGATCCTCTGGGGAGGATCCAGGCAAGCAGATAGCTGCATCCAGCCCCTGGGCCATAGGTTCCCCACCTCTGTTTCTAGGGTGTGAAGTTACACATAGGTATGTTGGATAGTAAAATCTAATGGCTAATCTAAGAGTTTAAATTTCTGATATCACAGAATTATTGGGAGGATTAATTAATTAATGGAGATATGGCACTTTGAAAATGCCAAGTGCTGCAGAATGTCTAAGAATCATTAGTCCAATGCCAATGCTCTTTGTTTTATGAAAGAGGCAGTTTCTGTTTCTGAAAACCATTGTTGGAGAAACTCCATGTAAACTAACCATGATAATATCCATAGCAGGCTGTTTTTGGCAGCTGATGAAGATGATAACCATTGTTGGAGAAACTCCATGTAAACTAACCATGATAATATGTTTTTGGCAGCTGATGAAGATGAGATTTATTTATTTATTTATTTTGGAGATCATTATATTTTAAAAATCACTGTCTTAAACCAGGAAACATGAAATAGGACCCAAGGTTATGGCCTGTACCCTGTGTGTAATTAACATGGCTCTCAGCAGCTCCAGGACTTGCCAATCCATTCCAAGGAGAGATCAGCCTGTTCACAAAGGTCTCTCTCTTGAAATAAGCTTTTCATAACTGGATAGATAATTAATGGAAGGAAAGCTCAGGTCAGTGACTTCTCAGACACAAGGCACCTTCTACCTTATTTTGAAGTACCCTGTACTACAGCCAAAAAGACATGGCCTATCTCAGTGAACATATTATTGCTACTGTATATGGATTATTCATTAAACTATTATATAATCCTGTGTACTAATGTACATGGACAGGGGAAGAGGGAACTGATGAAAAGTGAGAAGAGACATGTAAGATGAGAACTCTCCACTGTGATAGAGGTATTTGAATGTTTGTGCAATGTGAAACTCGTGGTTTCTTAGGTTCTTCTGTCTCACCCCCACATATTTTTCAACAGGTTGACATGGCATGCCCTTGTGATAATTTCATTATGAAAATGTGAGAAGATGAATAGTGCAGAAAGTGACATTTTCTACTAAGTCTTCTGTAAGCTTTCAGAACCTGCTGTATCTTTAAGTGCATTGATGTCTATACAGCAGCATGTACATGCTATCCTTCAATGGAGATTAGAACCCTTCTGCCAGACACAATTCCAGGCAATCCTTGTGTTGATCAGAGCAGTCACCTGCAGCAGTTCTGTGCTTCCAAGTGCCATAACAACATTTAACCTAATTTACCCGATGGATTAGGATTTTTCCATGCCTCTATTATTTCCTGCAATGTGCAGTGATGCCCCCATGTGGTTTATCCCTCCTAGTTTCCATCTTGTGCTGCCAGGGTATTTGTTTTATAGAGGCAGGTGAACCTAACTCACCCTCTGTTGTATTTTAAAAAAAACCAGGCCAAATTCCAAGCTGGCAGGTGAACCTAACTCACCCTCTGTTGTATTTAAAAAAAAAAAAAACAGGCCAAATTCCAAGCTTTTCTAATCAGCCACTTTCCTCAAGCATGGCCCTGACACTTAAAAAGGGCTAAAGTATTTGCAAAACTCTAAAGATATAGCAAATAGAGGAAAAACACCCAAAACCTACAGTCTGATGCCTTGTTGGAGAAAGCTTTTCCACTATGGGACAAATGTACTGATTAACTGTAGGATATAATTAACTATCAGGCACTTATTTCTGTTGTCCCTCAACATCATCCTTCTGAGTAAATTGGTTCACAGATGACAGAGAATGATTGAAATGTGAAAATAAAGAATTAGCACAGATGACGTAAGGCAAGTGGAAACCTGATAGTGGCACAGAGAGTTTTCATGATCCTGTGCTGCACACATTTGTGAGAAGAGGCCAAGGTGATCCTTCTCAATTGGTAGTGGTCCTCAGTGCTAGTGGTAGGAAGGGGAAAGCACTTTCTGGAACTGGCAACTTGGCAAGTGTTCTGATTTGCCTTCTTCTTAAGGCAGTACACAATCTCACTTCATCTAGACACATCCCTGCTCAGTTACTCAAAGGTCAGCAGTCTTTTGCATCCTATTTTTACTACAGTCCTGGCTGTTTAGAAAAGTCTGTTTTTTTCAGACATTTATAGATAAGCATAAGCTTGTTCTTTCTGTGCATTTTTAGTCATTAATATAGCTATCACTTGTTTTGGCTGTTGCCCATGTAATAATATTTTTTAAATAACTGTAGCTGACATTGTGTCATTTAGGGTGTGTCTAGACTACATGGCTCTGTCAATGGAGCCATGTAAATTAGTTTATTCGGCATAGTAAAAGAAGTAGGGATTTAAATAATCCCCGCTTCATTAAAATAAACATGGCCGCTGCGCTGTGCCAACGATCAGCTGATCTGGCACAGCGCGGCAGTCTAGATGCAGATCTGTCGGCTGGGAAAGCCTTTGCCAACCGATCCTGTAAACGTCGTTTCACGAGGCATAAAGGATTGGTTGGCAAAGGCTTCCCCAGCTGACAGATCCGTGTCTAGACTGCTGTGCTGTGCTAGATCAGCTGATCATCGGCACAGGGCAGCGGCCATCTTTATTTTAATGAAGTGGGGATTATTTAAATCCCTACTTCTTTTACTATGCCGAATAAACTAATTTACATGGCTCCATTGACCGTCGTTTCACGAGGCATAAAGGATTGGTTGGCAAAGGCTTCCCCAGCTGACAGATCCGTGTCTAGACTGCTGTGCTGTGCTAGATCAGCTGATCATCGGCACAGGGCAGCGGCCATCTTTATTTTAATGAAGTGGGGATTATTTAAATCCCTACTTCTTTTACTATGCCGAATAAACTAATTTACATGGCTCCATTGACAGAGCCATGTAGTCTAGACACACCCTTAGTGAAGACACTCAGGGTACGTCTAAACTACATGCCTCCGTTGACGGAGGCATGTAGATTAGCCAGATCGGCAGAGGGAAATGAAGCC